TACTGCCCATGTTCCCAAGACATGTTCACACGTTTGTACACATAGGTCAGGCTGGATAGGGCTTGGAGCACCCTGGTCTAGTGGAAGGTGTCCCTGCCCATCGCTGGGGTTTGGATTAGATGACCTTCAAAGATCCCTTCCAGCCTGAACTATTCTGTAATTCTGTAATTCTGTCATTGGGGGTTGAAGCCGCCATGGCACCCAAGATGGTTTTTCCATCCCACCAAGAAGACAGCCCAGTTTGGCCAGCCAGAGCAACACAGGCTCCTTCCTATACTCACATTGTTGCCTCAGAGAGAGTGACCTCGTCCTCGTCGTTGGAAAGGGCTTCTCCCTTCTTGACGCGGCTCCACGTGCTCTTGACTCTCACCAGCTGGAAATCCGTCTGCCGGGGCTCCTGGGGCATGGTGGCTCCTGGGACTGCTGCAGCACACGCCTCTTCTGTCACCAGCATGCTTCCAGAAGGTGAAATCTCCCTACCCAGAGATCTCCCATCACTGGGTGCCTTTGAGGTGCTTTTTAAAGGCTGCAGGGTGACCAGGCATCAGGAGGGGAGGTCTTGTCTCCATGTGAGAGACTAATTACAAAACTGAATTACCTAATCTGGGATGCATGTTAGGGGTGGCAGGAATGTTTGAAGACACGTGCGACTACCAGGATGGGGTTGTGTAATCAGCTGGTTTTATAATGCTTAAGATGTACAATAGAAGTGCATACATTTACTTCCAACATTATGCCCTACAGCAAATTTAAAGTTATGAAAGGCAGTTTGTGTGATTCTTCACATCATTCAGGAATCTCCTTTGCTGAGCAGAGCCTCTGATCTGGCTGCAGCTCTATGCTGCTCTTATGGGATGAGACAGGAGCAGAAGCATGGGGATCAATACCAGCTGGTTAAACCTCTTTTGAGTTCACATTCCTGGGATTTTCTTGAATTGAGGAACAAAACTATATATATAATAGATATTTTAGCTTTTATGGTGGGTTTAAAAAAATTATCAGAGAGCGTTTTCTCCTGAAGGGCTGTTTGGGGCATGAGCTGGGTTTTGATCCCCACGTGACTGGGGGATGCACAATTCACTTTTCCATGTGATCTTCCAGCTGGGGTTTTTGGAGGGCCCCAGGCTCAGGTTGCCACACAAAGTATTCCCTTGGCATTCAGCTCTGTGTGCTGAGCACAGGAAGGTCTTCCTTTGATTTCACCAGTAGTGCCTGAAGGCACAAACCTGTCTCTGCCACCTTCTCAGCCGTGTTTCTGAAAGCTGTCCTTGTTCAGAAACAAAGATCAAGAAAACCAAAATCAGATATAAAAGCAGAGATGGGAAAAAATGTGTCTTAAAGAACCCATTGGACAACACTGTGTCATTGCTTTGAAGGCTTAAATGCAGCCAAACTCACTTTGGAACCTTCATCTATCTCAAAATTAATATTGAGAGAGCTGCAAGAAAAGTCTCCAAAGCCATGTAGCCCTGCTCCAAGAAGTGCCTAACTCCTGACTCCAGTCCTCACTGCTGGCTTTATCTCCAGATGGCAAAGTGCTTTTTAAAGAGGACAGGCTGTTAACCCCATTTTGTAGAAGAAGAAAATAGTCTCAGAAGTGAAACAACTTTCCCAAAGTCACCTTAAAGCTAGTGTGTGTGAATTAGATGTCACACTAAAGCTCGTAGCCTGTTTACCAAATACTCGTCTGAAATTTTCACTCCCAATCTAAACACAATTTTTATTGCTTTCTGCAGGAACTGCAATTCTAATGCAGTTTGTTGTTTACTAAATCATAAAATAGAACAATCTTAGGTATGCCAGGCGGTCTGGTTTTTAAATCTTGTTTATTTGTTTTAATTAATAACAATACAGTCAGCTTCGAGACTTCTTTTATTTGCTTTTCTTTTACTCTTTCATAGTGTGTATTTACTTATTTTCTATTTATACTTCCCTATTCTATTCTGAGGACACTGAAATATCTTCTGTTACATTTGAGAAATTGACAAATTAACTTTCCACAGTCCAGCTGCTTGCCAGCACCAAGGACTGCCATGTCTCCGTACCTTCCATCCTGCAGAGGGGCTGCCAAGAGTGTGAGGGGGAATGTGAGCTCCCCCAGCCTGTTCACCTCCCCTGCCCAGCCCTGGGCTCTCTCAGCACACTTTGCAGGTACATTGAGTCTGTCCTTGAGTGAATGAGCTCAGGGTGATACACCCCAGAGGTGCTGGTTTGGTTATGGGGCAGTCCATATTTCCTCATTACCTTCAGTTGTGTTTCATCTGAATGAAGAGGGGATTGCCAGCCCACCTCGGCTCCATCACGCTCTTTAAGGACTTTGCTTTAATTCCTCACCAGCCCTTTCTGCCCAGCTCTGCTGCAGGCCACCTCAGCCTTTTGGATAGCTGGGATGTCCCCACTGCTTGCTCCTGATGCCTCCCTCAGCCAGTCCACTCCTGGGACCCTCTCTTGGGGCACAGATCAACTGGTACCAGCCCCAGCCTGTGCAGAAACCTGGCTCCCGGAGCAGGGGCTACTCCAACGTGTGGCTGTACTGTGGTGACCTTGTGGCTAAGGACCACTTGTAGACAATCTGGGGTTCAGAGTCCTGGGACATTTTTGGCCCCATACCTGGTGGTTTAGCCGGGGCATGTCTGTGATATGTAACTGGAAGGTTATGAAACTGCCAATTACTTTCTTGAGAGCCAGCAGCTTCCCGAGGTCAGGATGTGAACTTACTCTTATGTAAAGCAGAGGCACTGAAAGTCGGCTCTTTTGTTGTGCCTTTCTCATGTCAGATGCTGTTGGATCTCACCTGCTGCCTGTGCTCTGGGTGGGTCAGGAGGGTGCAGCCCCAGCCCGGAGCCATCCTCCCCGTGCAGCCTCTCCCCAGGGCTGGAGCTCTGCCCTGGTGATTGAGGGAGGAGACTTTGTCCCCTCACCGGGCACCCGAGCACCAACCTCCTGCTCTGCAGAGGCAGCAAACCAGCCACAGCACCCTCTGAGGCCAGGGGACAAGAAGGAACATGAATAACCCTTCAGGTAAACTCCCTGTGTGGGGTGGGGAGCTCTGGGAGAGCGGTGTGACAGCAGGGACACAGAGTGATGCCCTAGTCCTGGGTCCCCACCTTCCCCATGGAGAGGGTGCCTGCAGGCTCTGTGGCTTGGCAGCAAGGAGCAGAGGGTGGCTTTGTCAAGGAGAGGGGAGAGGCTCAGCACAGGAGATGGGTTTGCAGGAACCTGGACTGGAGGGAGTGGGACAGTCCCAGGAGAAAGGAATGGTGGGATGGTGGAGGCTTGCAATGTCAAGAGAGCTTTGCCTGTGACTAATTTCTGATGGATTGCCATGCTTGTTTTAGAAATAATTTCTCTCCCTAATGGGGCACTGGGGAGATTCAGCTTTTCAACTTATTTTCTAGCAATAGAACCTGTAGAAAATGCATCAGGTAGTGTACATTTTCCTTGCATTCCCCTGAAGTTCAGTCAGAGTTTAGGTCCCTGGTTCATGCCATGAGCAGCAGCATCCCCTCTCTGGCTGCTTCCTCAAGCACCCACTCCATCCCTAAGCTGCTGCCTGCCTCCCATGACAAGCCCTGTGCTGGGACATGTGTTTACACACCAAGGCAAAGAGCTGAGGGTTGGGATAAGCTGTTGTCAGTGCCTGAGGTGCCTTGGTGAATATGATGGCTGGAGCTGTTGGGGATGGTTTTAGCAGAGTGGATTTCCAAGTGCTTGGCACCGAGCAGCTCCTGCCAAAGTGCTTGGCACTGGAGCACCAAGGAGTCTAGCAGCAAAGAGTTCAGGTGGATCAGGTTCAGTGCTCTGCCCTGGCCCCCCTGGGAAGGGGGGCTCTTTGGAAAGCATTTCTGGGGCTGCAAAACAGATCTAGAGCCCGGAAGGTGAAATGAGGATAGCCTAAAATGGGAAGGAAAAATTTGTTCTTTTTGTTCTTGTGTTTTTGATTTGTTTTTGCCAAATCCAGATTGTCTCCTTGTCTCTGTGCCTCCTTCAGGGTGGTCCCCTGCAAACAATGAAGCGTTCTCCTCTTTTCCCAACTTAAAAAGTGCCATCTGAGCACAAACTGCAGAGTTTAGTTGTGGTTCTGGAGCAGCAGGTCCCTCCATGGCACTGCACTTCTTGTCTGCTCAGGGGACACTGATGTCCCACAGGTACAACCTTGCAATCCTGACTTTGGTGTGAATTAAAAGTTCCTGATTTCAGACAGAGGAAAAACTGCAGTTTATTGTTCAGCTTAGTTGTAAAACAGGGTGGCTGTGCTCTCAGCACCTGCTCAGGAAGATGCTGGGAACCATTCTGCTATCAAGAATGGTCCATTTTAAAAACTGCCACCTTATCTTTCTTTATGAAGCTGCTGGAGACTTAAAGCAGCCCTTTCCTGCTCTTTCATGGAAGGGCTATTTTCAGCATTTTCTTCCTCTGAGTGAGCTGTTTTTCTTTTCTCCTCTTGCTGATAATGCACAACTAGATGGGAAATGGAAAGAGATGTCTGTGCATACATAGATCCATAGGAACACAGTCAGGAAATCTGATTTAGTGCTTAATACACTCCAGCAGTTTTTCTGGGATTGTGTAGAGCTCTGCACTGAAATAAAGCACTTTTTCCTGGAATAACCTTAAAAAAATGTAGTTACATAAAGTTTAGCTCACCTTAGTGCTCAGGGCCTTGGGCCGGGCAGCCAGCCCTGAGCTCTGCTCTGACTTGTCTGGTGCTTGCATAAATGAGGGCAATTCTGACCTCTGCTGTTGGCCCAAAGCACCACCAAGCTGCAAAAAAAATGCAGCACTCCCTGCAAAGGTTGTGTAAGCTTGGATGGAGGGTTGCCCCTGGCATGCCCTGCCTGTGCCCCCTCCCTGCAGCACCTCTTGGCTCTCACGTTTGGTGTTATAACACAGCTTACAAAACAGCTGAGTTTAAGTCTTGTTTCCTCCCCTTTGTGTGACAGGCAATCCCTGTCTGTTACTTATCCAGAAGCAGAACATGATGATTACTAAAAGCCGACATGGATTATAAACATGTTTTTACCCCTAAATTAGCAAAAAGCCTCAGAGTGCTTGGCAGGGAGGATGAGCAGATCCCAACATCCAGCACTCTCCAGCTGAGCAGTGGGAGCCCAGGGATGCTCCCTCCTGTAGTGGTGAAAATGCTGCAAGAAGAGTATGTGTCCTTTTCACTGGAAGTGCAGCTGGGCTGGGGTCAGCAACCAGCATGGTTTGGGAAAGGGGTCTGGGAAAATTCCTGCAGCTGCAATTATTCATAAAACTGCTGGAAGAGATAAAAGCTTCCCCTGATGGTTAGAGACTGGGATGAGATGTAAATCGTGGCCTTGTATCACAGAGTCACTGAATGGGCTGGTTTGACAAGACCTTAAAGCCCATCACAATCCATCCCCCTGCCATGGCAGGGACACCTTCCACTGTCCAGGCTGCTCCAAGCCCTGTCCTGCCTGGCCTTGGACACTTCCAGGGATCCAGGGGCAGCCACAGCTGCTCTGGGCACCCTGTGCCAGGGTCTTACCACCCTCTCAGAGTAGAATTTCTCCCTAATACCTAATCTAAACTTCTCTCTTTCTGTCTGAAGACATTCCCCTTGTCCTGTCACCACATGCCTCATAAATGGTCTCTCCATCCTTCTCGTAGGCTCCCTTCAGGTACTGCAAAGCCACAGAAGTAAAAGAGATGTCCTTTCTTTTTTCACTCACTCCATGTAGTTCTCTGCAGCCTTTCTGTCCCAGGCAATAAAACCCTGCCAGGGGCAATCTGCTCCAGCCCAGCCTCTTGGCCTGTGTCTCACAGGTGCTTTCATAACCCAGCACGTGCTCTCACACTTGGGGAGTGGGGGAGTTCCCCTGAACCTTGCCTCGCCTCTGGGGCCACAGCTTGCTGTGATCCATGGTGGATTGCTGCCATGAAGGTTTTCTGGGATCTCAGGGCAGGTTCAGTGCCATGGGCAGCATTGCTTTGGCTCCCAGAGCAAGGTGATCTGGATCTTGGAGAGGTTTGCACGTTTCAGAAATGCTGACATGTGTGGTGCACAGCAGCCCCCCTGGCACAGACACAGCTTGGGGACACTCATGCATCCCACTGAAACAAAAATCCTCCCTTTTAAAAAGCTTCACCCACTGCCTGCATCTCCTGCCTGGTTTGGCAAAAGCAGTTTTGGAAAGCATTCTGTTTCCTCCAAGGAAAATTGGACCCGGAGGAGCAGGGTTTATATGCAGTTGTTTGGTGTTTGATGTTTGTCTTGGAGCTTTAAAAACAGAATTCATGTGTTTAAAACATTCTTATTCTTGATCAGCTCTGAGGGGAAAAAGGGAGGATGCATGCAGCAAAAATCTATTTAAAGTATAGAATGTTTTGAGTTTGAAAAGGTTTTTGTGATTGTTTTCATAGCCCTTCAAAACCCTACATTTTGTATTAAAAAAAAAGCACACCTGTGCTTATATACTTTAAACTCCACTTCCACTGATTGAGCAGTTACAGAATCATTATTCTCTCTTTTAATTTCCATTTCAGAAACTCCGGCTGGGCACATTGCTGAGAACCTTCTCAAAGCCAAAGAAATAGCCCTCAATGACCCTCATGTACCTGAACAGCTCAGAAATTACTTACAAAAAGCTCTTGATGTTGCTCTTGGACTAGACCCTTACCTGGATGCAATGGCAGCTTCCAAGAGGTACAGATTCTCCTTTGTAGCCTGGTGCTTTTGTCTGTGGTGGGATGAATATCTTGTTAGATTTTCTGTCCAGAACATGCCAGAAACGTGAGGGACAGCAGCAGGAAGTGGAGTGAGACTTAAGTGCACCCAAACGTGTAGCAAAGCGTGCATGGATGTGTGTGTGAGCCCACAGCCTGCAGGAAAGGAGGTGAGAACAAAAAGCTGCAAGTGTAAATTTTTGGAGATATTCTCCCAACTGATTGCTGGCTGTGGCAGTGTCTGAGTTGGAACATACCCTGGGGAACACCAGCCTCCACACTGTGCTTGCTGGAAGGCTCAGAGAGTGAGCCCCTGGATCCAGCTGGTGCTGGGATAAATAAAGAGTGAGGAAAACCTGCACCTCTGGATCCACCCTCTAATAACAGCCTTTATATGTGGTTTTTATCTCCAAGCACTCAACAAACATTAATTAATCTGCTAACTAAATTACTCTGGTAACTAAACTAATTAATTAAACTAATTTAAGGTATCATTAATTCAGAAGTCCAACTGATACCCTCATTATTCTTTTTTGAGCTACACTATATTACCCAGCTGTGTGGGGTCTGCTAAACAATTCCCATTTATCAGTGTACATTTTGATATGTGGAAAAAGCCAGTTCTGTCTAAAACTGACAATGTGTAAACTGTTCCAGGCTGTGGATTATGGGAACGCTGAGCGTTCTCTCTGTTGCTGAAATAATAGCTGATAGTTGTTTGACTTACACTTGCTGTAGGATAATAGCTATACATTATCTTATTAAAGTTGTTAAAGCGTTTGTGAGGGGCAGAAAAGAGGTTATATGAAATGTTCTACTCTTTAAGTCTTGGATTATCTGACTGTGGCTGACACGGGTTATGAATTCTTTCTCATTTTACTGAGGAGCAGGGTGGGGGGGGTGGAGCTGGAGGAAAAAAACCACTGAAATGGCTCTAAATTCTGGCCCAAAGAATGATCACCATCCATTTCTGGTGGTTACTTTCTTCACACAGGGTAATCTAACCTGTCTGGAGGCTATGGGCTTCTTCCAGTCCTCTATTGCCTTCCCTGTGTAATAGGTAACATCTCACTTCATCCAGAGTCATTGTCACAGGCCTGACTTCTGTGAAATAGTATCTGGAGGCACCCTGCTTTCTGAGCACTTTGTGAAGAAAAACATTTTTTTCCCCTGTCTTATAAAAAAAAATTAGATTTTATGTATTTTCCCCTGTTCTGCAAAGAAACCTTATTTTTGGCTGGAACAAAACTAATAACTGTAGAACTGAACAAAACCTGGCCAGGGTAACTGGAGTAATTCACTCCAAAGCAGCAGATAGAGATCTATCTGGGACCAGCTGAAAATGGGAAAGGTTTGGGGTTGAACAGTGGGGAATTCTTTCCTTTGGTCCCATGTTCCCTCCTTCCCAAGCTCCTATGACTGGGGTGTCTGCCAGTACTGAGATGTTCTTGTTGTGAAATTAGGTTCTCTTAGGACTGGAATTTAGGATACTTGTGATGCTTCTGGGCTAATTTTTCATGGTCATGCACAGATGGAGGTTTTCCAGGAGTTCCCTCTTGGTTGCTGCTTTTTATTCTGGATGCTCAAATTTTGGTTATTATCATAATATCGAAATGTCTTTTTTTTTTTTTTTTTCCCCCAGAAAAACTTCACCTAAGCCCATCCCAGAGGATACTGAAGGAGGTGAAAGCAGAGTCAGGCTGCAGGAAACACATGCCTCTGGCTCTTTGAATGGCAAGTTGTTCGGCCAAGAGGGTAAAAATGCACCAGATTGGTGTAAAGGCTGTCACTGAAGTTGAAGCTATCATCCTCTACTTTGTCTTGAGTAAGGGGAGGATAAATGCCATGGGAATGCTCAGAAAATGTGGGAAATTACTTATAAAGAAATATATGAGCTTCCTGTGGGCTTTGATCTTCCTCTGTCGTGAGTTTTCCTGTACCCTGCCTTCCATGTGTATTTGCTCACACGTGCCCACATAAATGTGCTTTAATTCCCAGTGCCAGCCCCATCCCTCAGTGAACAGCAGAGATCATCACCTTCCTGAAAGAGAAAGGGATGGAAAAAGCTTCTGGTTTGGGCTTGGGATGTCTGATAGGGGTTTATATGCTTTTTGTGGTGAAGGTGGCTGTGGCCAAGCTCTGCACCTTTACAAGCAGAAATACCCAGGCTTGTATCCTCTTATGAAGCCTATTACACTAAATCTATTCCCAGATTCATTCTTCCCAGATGTTCTCATCTTTGGAGTAATATATCATCCCAGTGAAGTACTCTTATAATCTATTACACTAATACATTGTTCGAAGGACACCACTGATGATAAATTTCTTAAATGATGGTGCTGTCTAGGGATAATGACTCTAAGAGCAAATGCAAGGTAATGTAGTGATTTTTTTTTTTTTTTTTAATGCTGGATTCCAGAAAGAATATGGAGCCATCTCAAAGCCATTTTCATATGGGGGAATGTTAAAATATGCAATATTTCAAGCACTATTTAACAAGCACTTGAACAATAGCAGCATTGATGATAAAGGTTCTACATTTAAAATCAGTCCTTTTATTCTGTTGTCTTTTAGCTGCATTTTTAGGTGAAATTTTGTCAGATTCTGTGGTTAAACCTTTATTTGAGAGTGTTTTAAGATTAGAGTTTTTTAAATGATCACTTAAAAGGCACATCTAATTTTCACTGTGAAAAAAGGATAGTCTTTCTCATGGTTTTATTTTAAAATTTTCATTCTTGTCTTTCCACAGGCCAAATTTTTAGGATGTTTGTCCATATGATCAGAGCCAGGAAGATTTTATTAATCGGCAAGCTTAAAGGTTGCAGTATCCTTTCTATTGCAGAGGAATTGCCAGACAATGGCAAAATCTTTGCCTGTGCAGAAGAGCCGTACCTCGGAGTGAACAGCCAGGAGGCATTTGATTATTCCTCAGATGGCAAAAAGATAAGCATGCGAGTGGGACCACTGGCAGACACCTTGGAGGTAAAATCAGCTGGAAAGGGAGTTTGGGAGCTCTTGTGAAGAGCACATTAAAGAATTTCAGGCAGGTCTTATTCCCTGCCCACACGATGCTGGGTGGTGGCTCTGGTTTGCTTGAACACACTCTTGCACCGAGGTTATTTCTTATTTCCAATGTATGCTGGGGCAGCTCTGTCACACAAGACAGTTTTTCTCCCTTTGAACTAAAATCCTGCAGCTTTTTGATCAGAGGAATGACAGGCTCTCAATGTAGGTCGGTAGGCTTCAATGGCAGTTTAACTCAACAAGGGTTGGCTTTGTTTCGGGTCCCTAATTCCAAATATAACAAACAGGAAGAATGGATCTGTACCCTGCTGAGCCAACTTTTGAGAAGGACAGCTTTCTCCCAGTGTTCACAAGAGCTAGGAAACTCCTGGAGAAGTTTGTAATTCTGCCAAAACCTCTCACTATTTTTCCCCACAGCAAACTCTTCGATGAATTAGACCCCACTTTCTCACTTCCAGAGCAATGTGATTAGCCTCAGAGAAACAATGCCTTAGCTGGACTTGTTTCATTCTGACTGGTGACTTTGTCCCAAGACAGAGAAATCTTATGATTGCTGGCAGCTCACATTTAATTTCAGTTTATGGATCTCCAGGAGGCTGCTGTGGGTCCAGCATGAGACAGGTGGTGCCCATACCAGGTTCATTAAAAAGCCTTCCTATTATTAACACAAATCAATTTGATCTGATTTCATTTTCAATCAGGATGTGTCAGTGTGAGCTTGATTGTAACTTTATTTGCATTAGCAGACACCATATTTATTTCTAAAATGAAATGGCCAGGAGCTTTCTGACCTCTGGTTTTCATGACCTCCAAGTTTGATAAGAAAGAAACAAAGAGCTTTGCAAGTATACGAAAAAAACCGAAATGTTACAGATCACCTGCAATGTGCAGCATTTAAAATCCCAGCTCCCCGCAGTGAGTGTGAAATTAATTGAATTGCTGTTGCTCTCTAGTGCCCATTCTGTGCAACTGACTTACTGTGACTGAATTAAAATATCTAGAGGCAGGCAGAGTACATGCTGTGTAGAGATTAAAGAAGGGAGCAAAGACATGAAAATTAAATCCTTAAAACAGAATGTTGCAATTGATTTTATATCCTCCAATTGCAACATGAAGGCACATCCTGACCCCAGTTCTGCAGGTGCTCAGAACTTCAAATACCTCTTGGAGCTGCTGGGAACAGAGATGCTCGTGTTTGGCAGGAGAGCTCCCAGCATGGGGACACCTTTCTGAGCAGGATTTCTGCACTGGGCTCTGAACTTTTGCTATTCAGTGTGGCAGGCGTTTTGTCATCAGTATCAGGACAATCAGGACTGTCCTACAGGTTTAATCCACAACGGCTGTAAATGCTGAAGCAATGAATTTGGTGGCCTCTCTGGTGCATTTGCATTTTGGGCTTCTTGAGGGCTGCCCAGCTGGAGTGTGGCAGCTGCATGGGATGCCTGGGGATGTGGAAGAGGCTCAGCCTGTGGACAGCATGCTGCCTTTCCCCTCCCAGATACCAGTGTAGGCTGGAGAATGAGCAGGCTTCCTTTGCTGAAAGGCAGGAGGACACAGGCAGGAGCTGGGGGAGGGATGGCACAGCAGAGCTCTCACAGCTCAGCTTCGCAGAGGAGGTGGAGAACATTTCAGTCCCTCATGGTCTGTGGGGAGGCAGACCTGGCTAACATTTGCTGAGGAGCACAGTGAGGTTTAGAAGAGCTGGATTCTGGTGAGGATTGTCCTTGCTGCCTACGGAGTCTGCAGCCCTAGGTGTCATTCTTGTCCCGGTGTAGAAGCAGGAGGGCAGAGCTGGTCACCCACCAATTGCTCTTTGGAGGTGTCTGATGCAGCTTTCTTGCTTGGTGATAATGGCTGAATCTTGCTTCTAAGCTGAGTACAGCAAGGCAATTCTTCTGGTTATCTGCTGCTCCTCAAATTTTCACAGTAATACAACTCCTGGAAGCAGGATTTGCCTCACTGCCCTGGCCCATTCAAAGCAAGAAAATGCCATATGGTCAATAAATTAACTACCTGTCAGGGGATTCCTTCTCTGCTGCATGAAGATGTGATTCAGTGTGTCCAAACTGTCAGAAGAAGTATGATCTCTCCCTTCTGGTGTAAAACTAGTCTACCCAGGAGCTGCATCCCAGCCTCAGGTATCGTCCAGGTGCTGCAGGATGTGTCCAGGGCTGCCCCCACAATTGCTTCTGCCCTTTACAGGAAGCTGCCAGATCTTGCAGCAGTTGCCATAAGGATGCAACAAATCTGTGCCAGTGCACCTCAGACAGTGGGGCCATTATGTCACCCCTGTGGCTTTGGCTCTTTCACCCAAATCCATGGCCCAGCAGGGCTGGGAGCGAGCAGAGAGCAGAGCAAAGGCAGCACAGCAGTCCATGGCACCACCTTGGCCAGGCTCTCTAAAGCCTCTCTGCTCCCTTGTGTTATCACACAGCACAGGTGGGGTTGGCCTGTTTGCCTCCCCCTTGTCCCAGATCACAAAACATCTGGGATTTTGACCTGTCAAGGGATGATAAGTCTCAGACAGGAGCCAGAGAGCTCAAATACACAGTAAGGTTCACTTGATACCTGAGGGCACGGTGATAAAATTCCACCTTCCCCACACAGGAGGGACAGACACTGCCAAGCTGGGTGAGGTCCCCAGCAGAGCAGAGCTCACACAGACCACAAATCCTCTGTGCCCAAGGGCTTCAGGAATTCTACATGGTATTTTAAAATGTGGACTGAGGGGAAGCCTTTCTTCAGGTTCAGTCTCAGGTACAGGTGTTTTTGGTGGGAATTAGCTACCTATTCGATGTGTCCTGGGCCAATGTTTAAAACCATTGCCCAGCAAATCTTCCCTGAAGTCTGAACTCTGTTGAGCCATGCCTGGATAATGTGCCTTGCCATGGATCTGCTACCAGCAAGAGCCTGATCCTGCACAAAGAGCTTCCTTCAAATCCCAGTGGATTTTGATGAACAATGGATGCAGGATTGAGTCTGGAGGGAATGCAAACTATCAGGAAATTATTCCCATCCATTATTTTGATCCTTCCATTTTCAAATTGAAAATGCAACACAAAAATAACACGGTGTTTGCAGCCAATTCTGCTGATTGCAGGGCAGTGTGGAAGCATGTCGGGGTTTGCTTTCTTCTTTTTTTCCCTCCTGTTAGCAGACAGAATAGGTGAAGAGGTTGAGCTGCAGATCTCATTTCTCCTGTTTTGCTGCTTGTGAAGTCTGCCAACAGAATCCACCTTGACAAAGTCAAGGACTCTGCGTTTAATGTTGAACTGAGTGAATAAATTATGCATGAAATTGTGTCGGAGTCTCTAGTGTGCTCTAGAATTGCTCCTTTTGATATGAAAGGTTAATTCAGAAAGGAGTCCAAAATAGCTGGAAATTGTGGGGATAAGTGGATAGTATTCACTGTTGTGAGCTGTTATTACTAGAAATTGCATTCCCTCTCTGGCTTCCCTAGAGATTTTGCTTTGCTGGTGAATATAAACTGTTCTCAACAGAATAGTGTTTAGGAGTAACAAGAGTGTATGTCCACACACAGTAAAATATTCTAATGGTGTTTTAAAAGGAAACTGTACTTTTTCATGTATTCTCTGCACCCCAAGGATAGATTGCTATTACATTTAGGTCAAGAACAAGGCACAGGAAAGGTAATAAGTTTTGAGTACATCTTTATTACAAATATGCTGACTGTATGATCCATATCAAAGGAACTGGGCAGTCATTTTTTTTCTGATTGAGTTTGTATGTGCCTTATGAGAGTGTTATCTCTGATCAGGACTCCAATCAAGTTTGCTCTGAGCTTTGGCAGAAGATTCATTCATGTTTTTATTTGGGATGTCCTCTCCCTTATCTTTTATGCTGCTGTGCCCTTTCTCATGGTCACTTTTGGTACATCTCCTCAACTGAATGCAGTGTTACACTTTTTTTTTTTTAATCTGAAAGGAAATTAATGACTCACTGTAAGCAAAAGCATTAATTTTAGCCAAGTTTGTTCTGAATTAAAACTCTTATTGCCATCTGTTACCATCTATGATGACTCTGTAGCAAGGAGCAGGGATTGCACTGTAAACACTCAGGAAATTAGTTTCAGCAGGATATTTTGCAGGCAGATTATTTCCTTCTGGATCTCAGCTTTCCTCACAGTTGGAGGCATTTGGGCTCTGCCTCTCCAAGAAAAGGACAATGGCATCTCCAGAGTGCTGTGAGGTCCCAGGCAGGGCCTGGCCCAGTCTGTGCTGGGAGGGCCAGAGTGTCAATCGCTCATTTTAAACCCCCTCATCCATACTGGACAGCATGGAGTTGTCCTTTCCACCACTGTACCCATCTTTCCAGTGCTTGGCTCTGCAGATAGAGCAGGTCTTTTATTTTCTGGCTGTTTTTGTCCAGCAGTGGGTGCTGGCAGTGAGGAAACCCTCTCCAGGGTGGTGTCCTGGCCATGGTGACCACCTGCCTGGGTGACCTGTGTATTGCTAGCCAAGGGGCTCCAGGAAACAGGCATTTTCCTCTCCCTGTGGCTGTCATCCTGCTGTTTAGAGGCTGCTCTTAAGGTAAGGCTGGTTCAAGGAATTTCATGGATTCCTCTTATAGCCCTGGAGCTGTTTCTAGCTAAATATGGGAAACCCAGCAGCAATTATGAACCTGTGGAAACAAGAAGCTCAAATGATGGCAGGTCCCAGGACAAACTCAGGTTATGCCTTCCATGTGTCAGGTATCTGGATGCCCAAGTGACCTTTCTAGCTGGTCATTCAGGACTCAGTGAAGTGGCAGAAGAGAAATGCCTTAGAAACCATGGCCTGGCACACCCAAGGACAAGCCTGGTGTGCCCTGGTTACACATCCAACCCAAGCACCCTCCTGGGATGGATGCTGTGATGTTGAAAGGTGGTTTATCTGTATCAAAAGACAGATAAGAAAGAGATAAGCTGTCAGCAGGTAGGCAGTACAGAAAGAGGGCTGAAATGAGAAGTCCAGCTAATATCCAGAGAGCTGCACAACTCCATATGGACCTAATGAAGTCAATGCATAAAAGTGAGATTCTTTTTCATTAGGGAGCCATCCCACGGAGCAGGAGTAACATATGTTCAGCCATGGCCACATCTGTTTCTGAATGTCTGCCCCCCACCTCCTCCACCCAGGAAGGTTACAAGTCAGAAAGTGGTGATAAGTCATGATAATTACTTGAATTTGGCTTTGGCTCTTCTCCCTGAGGAATGTGACCTCTAACCCTCTTTGTGATGGGCTCCTGCACCCAGCTTTCATCTTCTGACCCTTCCTGAAGTACCCACATTGGACAGACTGACTGAGGTGCAGCCTGATGTAAGATTCTCTTCCACAGTAGCAAAAATGTCCCTGCTGCTTTCCACCGACGTGGCTCAAGAGGGAACCAGGGCAAGATTTTATTGTTGGTCATGAAATGAAAAGCTGAATCCCAGGAATCCAGATGTCCCAGTTTCTCCTACATTTATAATAAACCAGCATATATTTGGCCTTAAGGTCTTCTTTCATTATAGTGTAGTGTGTCCTAGATGTGGTCTCGTGAATGCTCTCAGCAGAGTTTCTGTGCTATCAAGCATCCACAGTGAAATGTGACTATCCAGGCTTAATTCCCCACCACTAACAAGCTCACAATGACACCAGTTTGCACAACAGAGGAGTTCAGAGCTTCAACAATCTACTTTCCTTGATTTCCTTGTCTGATCCACACACTCCTGCCTCAGAAAGGCTCCTGAAATCTCTCTTTGGGAGCCATTAGCCTTACTTACTCCCAAAACCAAACCAGTTTTTCACATTCTGTTGCCTTTGTTGATGCTTTTGCTGGTACTTCCCAAGGGATGGCTCATCACTTGTTGTGCACAATGTCTCTAAACACAAAAGGGAAATCTGGATGCAAGAAGCACATTAAAAGTCATGGTAGAGACAGTGACTTCTGGAAAACAGAACTGTTTCTCTTTTCCCTTGAAATGCAAAGACTTGAAAGCATTTCTGCTCCCTGAGATAGGTGGATGAGCTGTTGTTTCATTGCAACGCACACAGATGCAGTTAAATAGTCCCAGATGGAATCTGAAATATTCCATAGCAGCCTCTTGGGCAGCGAGTGCATTAACTGCCACAGGAGAAGGCTGTAAAGGCTCCCATCTGGTCATCCATCAACACTTTTATACATTATCATCAGCAGCCTGCTTGGAGGGAAGGTGTGCCACATTTCTGAAAATCCAATTAGATGATAGCAGCCAGTTCTCTTTTATCCTCTCTGTTGCTGAGCCATCCAAAGCATTTTCTTAGATTAAAGAAACATCATTTTCCTTCACAGGGGCTATGCTGCTTTATCTCTATCATGACCTGTTCTTTCATGTGCTTTATAATTCCATATTAATTGGGATTTCAACCTTTTTCCTGCTACTGAAGTGGGACACACTAGTTTGCAATTCCCAGATCTGCCTTATGCCTCCTTTTTTCCCCAGACTGATATAATTGCCACTCTTCAATTTGTTGATAGTTGCTCTTTTGAGAGTAGAGAACTTGCAGCACCTCAGTGTCAGGGTTTGATGTCAGTCTTACCCTGATGGATCAATTTACTTTGACTCAGGGTATGCAGGTGTTTCTGCTGTGACTCTCAACACCATAAGCTGGGACGAGCCATCCTCTTTTATATCCTGATTTTCCTTGAGAAGTTCAGAGATTCATTGCTGAAGAATTGTTTGCAAAGCATGGAAAGCTCCCAAGATCTCCAGAAGCATTTCTAGCAGCGTTACCTTAAAAGAACAAGTTTCTGTCTGGTTTGGGGTTTATATAAACAAAAAATTAATGGCAACATGTTAAACTTTCAGGTAAATAATGAGTGTTTTCTCCAATATAATTTTTTTTTCCCAGGCATTACATGCTGAGGACGAGCACTTTGATATAGTCTTTATTGATGCTGATCAAAGGAATGCTGTTCAGTACTACAGCTTTGTCATGGATAACCACTTGCTGAGCATGGATGCAGTGATCTGTGTAGAGAATACACTCATGAAAGGACAAGTCTACCTGGAGAACGTATCAGATGAAAATGTACTAGCTGTCAGAAAATTAAATTCAGTGATTAATTCAGATCCTCGTGTTGAGCAGGTTAGTGCAATGCCATTGGTTAAGGTGCCCACAGTGCTGTATCTATGGATTTTGCAAAGTACTCTTTAAAATACTTCTTTTGTTGGTGCCATTATCCAAAGGACCTAAAATGAACTCAGATTTTATTATAATTCACCTCACTTGAGCTCTAGGTATGAGTTTCTATATTCAGGAGTGGTCCCTGCTCTGTCTACATCTCATAGTGTGTTAAAGGCAAGATAAAAGGAGAGCACTTAAGAGTAAATAATCAGCTCTACAGCACAGCTAAAGAATCACCACTCTGCTTTAAAGGCTCTGGGGGCTGTAGGGCATCACCAGCACAACAGGAGTCAGCAAAGAGAATAACAAGAAGAAGTAATAGGATGCACAAACAATATGTTGTGATTTTAGAAACTGGAGAGACAAGATTGCATTTTTTTCCCTGGTGTTTGTGTAAGCAATGAGTTTGGAAGAGGAAAGGGAGCAAATTCAAATGCCTGAAATATTTGTCTTGAAGGGAGCTCCAACTAAAGAACAGGAGTAGGGGAAAAACTACTGTGGCCTGATGATTATCCTTCATGTCAGTGGAATTTGGGTGACAGAAAGCCAGGTACCAATCAGATGTGTTGTATTTGCAGGTGATTTTGCCTGTGCAGAGTGGACTGAGCCTCATCCGAAGGAGCCCTGTGCCTCCAGATGCAGTGATTGAGTCCAAGGTGGGTATTTCCTCTCTGTGAGCATTTCTGGGAATATTTTGACTCTGCCAAGGACAAGGACAAAAATAATTTTCAGAGGTTTGGTGGCAAGAGCCCAAACATGTGGCACTGTGATCATGGGTTTAGCAGCTAAGAGCTTGGCACCCTTTAGCATCACCAGTCCAGGGTTGCACTGAAGATGAATTCCTTGCAAAGCCTTTCAGATCAGCTGGTCCTGTGATGAGTCTCTGGAGGGACTGGTGTGCTGCTCACCAGGTGTCTGTGCCTGGTGCTCTTCCATCCTTCTCATGCATGGGAAGATGGAGCTGAGGACCAGCTGTAATGAACCAAAACAACATTTCTGAAATAGTTCATCTTTTTGCTCAAATGCAGCACAGGATGTCCTCCTGTGCTCTCTGAGCTGGATATTTTTCATGGCCTTACATTTTGCTTGTCCTAAGGAAAAAATGGTGCTTTTATCTTTCTCTGTTTTATGTAGTGGGCATCATCCAGCTGTAATGAAATTCCCATCTGGAATCTTAATGGCCTACCTCAGTAAACCCAGACCCAAACATGCTGGTTGTTTTGCAGTTTTTGAGCACTCCCAAAGCTATACCCACTGGTAATTCCTGGCATTTCAAACTCAATATTTTAAACATCTTGTATTTTGCATTTTGATTCCAGTCAGGGGGAAATGATGTATGGCAGCTGATCAGATGACAGCTTGGTTTAAGTTATTGGCTGATATCTTTATTTGTGCACCAGCCTTGTGAAGATATTTTGATTGCACTCTACTTGACCCAAATCCTGCCTTTGGAACCTTGTTCTTAGCCTCTTAGCTGAGCCTGAGGGCAAGATTGGGCCCTGGGGATGAAATAACTACAAGACTTGATCAGTCAACTTCTGAGACTTTGTACCCAAGCCAGGCTAGGAAATGCCATACACTACTCTCCTGAAAATGGAATGGTTGTGGCATCTCCCTAAAGCACAGCCCTTCTGCTCCATTGTCTGGCACCTTAGTGCTGTGTTTGAGCTTAATATCTGTATGGATAAGGGGGCTTTTTGTCTTGAATTAGTGATGCTTTTTGTATTAATTAATGGGCCAAGAAGACATGGATCCCTGCTCAGGGTGTTTGTGCTCTTGTTTCAGACAGAAGTGGTGAAGGACGATGTCTTCTGGGGCTGCAGCCGGCGCCGCATCCTGGAGCGGCTGCGCTTGGACGGCAGGGTGGCCTATGTCACAGGAGGAGGGCAGGGAATTGGCAGGGCCTTTGCCCACGCCTTGGGGGAAGCTGGGGCTAAAGTGGCCGTGGTGGATTTGGTCCTTGCCAAGGCAGAAGCGGTGGCGTGTGAGCTCAGCCTCAAAGGTAAGCGCTGAGTGTGGTGGGCGCTGTAATGGGGGCTTTCCTCCTTCAAACCTGACACTACGCTGCAGAGCAACCACTCCCATCCAGCCCTGGTGGGGAAGTGGTTGGAATGGAGGATTTTCATGCCATGGGCACAAAGCTTCTCCTGACCTGTCAGTGTTGTGCCAGCAGTCACTGATACCACACCATCTGCAAGAGTTATTTGTCAATATAAACTCTTCTAGAGAGGCAAAGTGATCCAAACAAAATTCCTTGCGAGAAGTGTCCAAAGTGGCGAGCCATTGCTGACAGGAACAGAGAAGGGTCACCCTGCACAAGTGAGATCTGAATGACCAGCACTGGACAGAGATGGTGCTGCTCAAAGTAAATCATGCAGGCTTCACTATGGGTGAATGAAAGATACAGCCTACAAACTCACCTACACCCTATTCCAGACCCTCTTCCTACCACGAGCCAAAACACCAAAACAGGGTAGTTGTATTGTCAGTCTGAATCTCTCACTGTGCTCTTTAAATTGAAGACAAATAATTTTTCAAGCCCTCTTTCAAACATGTATTCAAGGTCAGGTATGGGAACAAAATACTGACAGACATAATAAGTAAAATCCCAAATAAGAGGTAAAATCTTCTACAAGCCACTTCTGTTTTAGCAGTAAAAACAGAAAATGTAACATAAAATCGAATTTCCTCCTAGAGCTGTGCTAAACTGCAATTGTAAAGGGGAAAAAGAAAACTGGAAATATAATTTTAATGATAAAAGAAAGGAAGTATTACTCATTTTATAATTCATTCTGTGAGATTACACCTGAGCCTTCTTCAAAGTTCAGTACTTCATTGTCTCTAAAGATGGACAATTACGCAGGAAATTTTCACATTCCCTCCTGGATAAAGTCAACAGTATTTTTTTCCACTCTGACTTCTGCCATTAGAAACCATATTCTCCAGCAAAACCAGCCCCTGCAGATGTATATATAGCACCCAGTCTCGGGAAGAGACAAGGTGTCATTCTGGTTCGGTTTGGGTACCATCCTGAGGCTCCCCAGAGAACATTTAAAACAAAACATCCCTGTCTGCACAACCCCAGCTCTGCTAAGCAGGAGACGCTTCACATGGAGTGTCAGTGCAATGGTTAAAGCTCTGATCCCAAATAATGACCCAGAAGAAAGTGTCCAGCTCCTATTACAAATTCTTGAGTCATCCAGTCCCTCCTTCCCTGAAGCTTTTATTCACCAGAGCCAGATGGTTTTGGCACAAAGTAGCTGTGCCCTACACCTTTAACTCTCCTTTTGGACATTGTTTCCCTGGGAGATCCTGCATATCAAGCAGAGCTGTTCAGACAGAAATGGGCTACTTGATAGAGCCATGAGACTTTGGATGCCAACAGCCTATTGGAAAATGAACTTAACTCATCTCCAGGGCATTTTCAGTAGGGGTTTGATCATCTACCCTTCAATGGCTGCCCTACATCTCTGCTCCTTCAGCAGTGGGCTGCCAGCCTGGAGGAGGTGGGGGGTTGTTCCAAAATGCAGTCGGAGAGGTCATGAGGCATATATTATATAATATAATATAATATAGCAAATATTATTGCAGTCTAAAGTAAAGAAAATCTCACTTCTCACTCTTTACACATCTTTATCCTTTGAGGTCAAATATTATCTATCAATTTGACCAGTGCAGCTGGTCAGGGCACATCTCTTCCATCTCATGATGGGTTTTGAGGTTTTGAATTTATTGTCGCTCCCTGTTGGAACAACCCCCAAACTTTGTAAAGCTTTTGTGCAAGGGAATTATATCCAAACGCCCGTTTTTGGAAAGGATCTGAAAAGGTCAGGTTTTCAATCTCTTTCTCTCCAGAGGTAACTAGAGATTCTAGCCTGGACCTCAGAAGCTTTCCCTTGAAAACTTTTTGTTGAAATCAATGTTTCCATGAAACATTTTGGCTTCAAAGAAGTATCATGCTCTGTTGGAAATAAATTTTGACAAAAAGGTTCAGCTAGCTTTACACTCAAAATATTCACATGAGTAAATTGAAGCAATCATAACATTAATACATATTTTTCCTGCTGTAATAAGGACAAAGGGGCTGTGATTTTTTTTCTCTGTGGCTGTAGATCTCTAACTCAAAGTTGGAAGCTCAGTGCCCCAAGTCATTCCCATACTGATACTTTTTCAAAACATTTTACTTAGCTTGCTTAGAGCTGCTCTGCTTCTTATATCAAGGAGCCCTTTCCTGCCTTTTGGGATGGTGCCATCATTTCATGATGAGTTTTAAACATCAGAACGCCTGTGATCTCAGTTTTAGCTTTGTTAGACAGCTCGGGTGTACGTCCCTTGGCTGCAGGGCTCTTTGTTTTTAGATCCTGTGTGAATACCTTTTTCAACAGTTACTAATGGATCCTGACTGAAGAACCAAAAATGATGAAACACAACCAAAAAATCCTAAGGGTTACCTTCCACTACACACACCTCTGTCTTCAGGGGGAATCACTGCCTGTACCCTAAGGGAAGAATTAGTCTAATGGGATTTTTAAAATGTGCATTTTCACTGTAAACTATGCAAATGCCTTGTGCAATGTCACTCCTGATCTTCCTGTCTATATGCAACATGTTACTTCCATTTATACCGAGACACCAGACATGAAGCCCGTGGCAGGGGGACGTGTGTTTGTCCCTGCAGAAGGACACCTCAGGCATATCCAGCACAGTGATTTTCTTCAGCACAGAGCCCCTGGCCTCCTCTCCTGCCCCCCTCATCACAAACCTGCCTCCATGAGCCCCACAAAAGTGAGCTGAGCACTGTGGAGGTGCACTGGCCCCACCTGTGCTGGGTGTCTTGTGTCTGTAGATTTGAAGCTATTTTCCCATAGTTTGTTTTATTTATTATTTTTAACAGGTGGTTTGAGAGGACAGTGGAGGGACAGAAAGTGGTTTCCTCCCCCTCTCAGAGTGCAGGAATATCAGATAAACTGATTAACATGGAGTGTGGGACTCTGGTTTGAAGTGAGCTTGGTTTCACTGTTTCTTCACTAGACACTCACATGTGGCACCTTTTGTCTCATTTTTATAAACTGACCTATAAGATGAAGCTCTAAATGGGGTGAGAGTTGGAGGGCAGGTGAAGAGTCTTTCTGTTACCATTAGTAACACACTTGCACCCATTTTATCTGTAAACTGAAAAAGGAAGATTGCAGCAACTCCCTGTGCGTTACATGTCTTGATAACAATTAGGAGGAGCAACAGGGGCTGTCTGGCTATTATTCTTTCAGCATGTTTAACATAAAACCTGCCATAAAATAAGAGGTCTTGTTTTGTGGCAGAGCATGCATCCATTTTTTATTTGTCAGTGTTTTTTCTCTGCCATGGAAATCAAGAGAATGGTGCCATCACTGAAAGGGACAGGAGCTCACATGCCCTGGCACCCCAGAGTGGCATCACCTCGGGCTGTGCACTCTGACAGGCTCCTGGAGGCACTGGAGATGAGGAGGAGCTTTTCCATACAAAGGCCTCTTTCCTGTCATTTTTTCACACACACACCACTGGGCAATTCCTGCTTTGCCTTGCTTTCCTGGAAACCTCCATCTCAGCTTCATTTTGGGAGAGTCTCCTCCTGGAATAGGCTTATCCCTTCTTTTAAATGTTTAATCAGAATGATCTAAAATAGGTACCAGTGTGGAACAAATTTGTCATTTATATAGAAGAAAAAGATCTTGCTTTAATAGCTGCAACTTCCTTTCCAGACTGCTGATCATGGTCCAACCCCAGTGGTGCCTCCCTCCTTCCTTATTTAAGACCCATTTCACCACAGCCCTTACTGCTGTAGCCTTCTTTGGCTTTGAGGATGGGTATAATCCCAGTGGCATCAGGTGCCTCAGCAGGTTTCTTATGCTGTCTAACAATAAGGTTATTTAAAGCTGATTTTTATGATGAATTAAATGAAGTTATTTGCAGATCAGCCCTGGTGCAAAAGTCAATGGCTGGATTATTTCAGGAAAAAATGCAAAGCTTCTTCACGTTTCAAATTTGGTAAATCACTTCCAGATGTTTGCTTTATTCTGGCAGTGTGATTTGCAATAAATAAGTCACTATGACTGCCATACCTGTGCCCCTGCAGGTATTCCCACTTAGCTCCCACCTAAAACTGGTTTGGTTTGTCTGAGGCTCCCATCTCTCTGCAGGCTGCAGCTCACCCAGAGGGCAGTTTGGGACAAATTAATTTGATTTCTGCAGCATCTTTGGGGGGGACCTGGCATAAGAAAAGCCTCTGTAGAGTGGCTGGGAGCTGGGGAAGCTGCAGTTGAGGGTTTGGACAGAAGATGGTGCAGTGTTCCAAGCTTCGTCCTGCCCGATGGCAGCCGCGCTCCCGCACCTGGGCTCCAGGCTGCTCTCCAGCAAGCGAACCTCGCAGCAGTCAGCAACTTTACAAAGGTATTGCCGTAACAAACACACGTTCTGCTACTACTCGTGGAGCAATGAATTAAGGTGGAATATATATATATACACATATTCATATATAAAATACAGCCATATATAAAATATCTCTATATATGTATGAAAAAAACAGAAAAAAAAATAAAACAGAATTTTTTTTTTTCCCCCTGTGAATTCCCATGCTGACTCCATCACTCTTATTTCAATGCAGGCATTAAAAGCCTTGCCCTGGCAGCAGATGTAAGCAAGCCTGAGGATGTGCAAAGGATGGTGGATGCAATCGTGGCTCGCTGGGGCACAGTCCACATTGCATGCAACAATGCAGGAATCAACCTGAATTCTGCAAGTGAAGAGACTTCCCTGGAGGAATGGGACAAAACTTTTAATGTTAATTTACGAGGATTATTTTTGTGCTGCCAAGTAAGTGTGAAGTACTGCACTGGTTTGTTTTGCAAATGTGTACTAATAGTCTAAGTATTTACTTTATCTCATGATATAATAGCACTTTATTAATAATTATCACAATAAAATTGGTCCTAGTTTTGGTGGAGTTTAGGAGAGATTTGCTTTATATTAATTACAGATTTTGGTCAATACATTCAAAAGCAGCAGGTACTTCTTGGCTACCCAAGCCCAGGCATTAAAGAATGGCCAAAATTTTTTTGAAGGGTGGTTACTTGAAAACCAGAAAGCTTGGAGGGGGGAATTCCCAACATTTGAGATTTTTTGGAAAAAATATTTCCAACAGTGGAGAGGTGTGAAATGGCAATGGGATTTTTCCCTGCATCAGCCATTTTTATACCAAGTTTTTATATCAGGTACTTAAAAAAAATGTGTTAGCACATCAACTCTTCTGAAAAGACTAATTTATTATCATGTCATTATTAGCACAATCACAGAAAGGGTCACTGGTCTTTCCTTTAATTTCTGTCACAGGCTGCAGGCCGCATTATGCTGAATCAAGGATATGGGAAGATAATTAACACAGCATCTATGGCAAGTTTAATAGGTGAGTGATGAGAGCTAACAGTTGTGCTTCAGAATCCATATTTTAATTACTACCGATGCTATTTGAATCAATTAAACCTGTATTGGGAAGGAGTAAATCACTGACATTTCGTATTAGAGGAAATGTACTACAAAATTTTTATTGATATCATTTTTCAACATTTATCTGTCCTCAGTGTTTTAGAGCACTTATTACTTTTTATAGAAAAGGCGGAGCCACCTTCTCTGACTCTGGAGCAGATACCAGAGGAGAGGTGCTGCTCCCTCCATGCTGTTCCAGGCAAACTCCTTGGGAAGCTGAGCCCACAAGATGCTTACAAGCCACCCAAAGGATTTTGTGCCAATATTTTTCCTGGTACCCATGGGTTTTATAACATTCTCATTGCCAACAGGTGCCTGCACCAAGGCTGCTGAATCAGCAGTGTCATCAAAAGGACCAATAAACCATTGTAACATATGGAATGAAATCCCTACTGCTGAGCTAATCTGGAAGGCTGCTGAGCTGAAGCCCATGTAACAAAAATTGATCAATTACACAAATTAAGCATAGCCCTTTAGGAATTTATTTTATTGGTCTGGACATCTGTTGCAGTATTGTCCAAATCCAAAAATCAAATGGTGCCTTGGGTTGCCAAGTTAGGCAAGAAAATCTAGTAGCTATAAAAGTACAACTGAAAACCCCTGTATTAATATCGTGTCCATCTGCTGAATGTTACATAAATATGCAGTCTTTTTATTTTCCTTTGGAATAATGTTTATTTTTACTGTGCCCAGTTTGACATTCAATGTCATTCTACTCAGTTTATTGCACAGTAACTTTAAATGGTTCTTCAAAAATCCATTTATAATGTTGTTGTTAATATTTTTTCAAGTGTCTTTACCAGCTGTTTTACTTATGCTTAAACACAGGCACCCAACTTTGTAAAGTTACAAAAACTCCCCAAGAAAAGTAGTTCTGAAAAGATTGTGAGGCTTTAAATTTCAAATACCTCAGGCTTTCCTGCTCTGCTCTGAGCAGTTGGGCTCTGGTCTGTGCTTGGGCTGTCACCATCCACATCATTGTCACAAAGCAAAATTTCCTGGGATGTAGTCCCTCCTGGAGAAAGTTAGGAAGCTCTGGGAATTGGCACAAGCTGGGGATCTGCTGGTTTGGCACACACCTCCCAGCCTTGCTGCAGCCCAGCAGTGGTCTGCTCTGCTTAAGGAGAGGCTTTTTCCAACTTTTCCATGGGAGCTTGGCACAGCTCTGCTGAGCTGGGTGGTGATGCCATTCCAACACAGCATCCATCCCAGCCCCAGCCTGGAGCTGCTCCTCCTTGGCTGGTGAGCCAAGTCCAGGGGATCACATTTGAGGGCAGTACCTGTCCTGGAACAGAAAAGAACATTGGAAAGCAGCCCTAAGAGCAACCTGGAAGGGTCATCCCAAGATGCATTTAAATGTCAGTGAAAGTTAATACATGTTAGGCCAGAAGTTAAGAGATGGAGAGATGTGTTTACCTTCTGAACCTGTTTGAATCTTGGCATTGAGAAAATCTAGTAGTTATGAAATTACGACTGAAAACCACGATGTTCATATCATGTCCATCTGCTGAATGTTAAATAAATATGTTGGTTGGTTGGTTATTTAAGTATGTTGGCCAACTGGCATAGTATGAAATGTTTCTAGAAATAGTTAGGGGATATTTTTTTTGTTGTTGTTGTAGGTTGAGTCCTTCCTCAGAGATACAGGAAAATGAGGAGACACTTAGCAGGATAGGGAGGTTTTTGTTTGTGATTTTTCCAGATACACTGCTCAGAATCAGCTTTAATTAATCGAAGATAAGCTGCATACATTTTGCATATGTGCATTTTGATTCTGGTGTTCCAATGGAATTATTCCAGGCGTTCGCTCCAGCAGCAGCGGCTCGGCCGTTCACACAGGTGTAACTCAGAGCTGTAATTTTCACAGTGAACATCTTCAGGGGGAGGTGGTCTGCTCTGCTCTGTGTGCACCTCTCACTAATACTGTGTGGCTGCTTCAAGGTCAGGCTGGGAGCCTGATGCACCAAACAAGGGTGTGACAGCAGTGTCAGGTTGCTGTGGTATAACCCCACGGCTCTTCCCTCCCACCAAGGATGGGAGAGACAATCTAGGAAAAAAAGGTGAAACCCGTGGGTTGAGATAAAGACAGTTTATTAGGACAGAAAAGGAGAGGTAAATAATAATAAGGAAAAAAGAACATAAAAAACAAGTGGTGCACAGTGCAGTTTCTCACCACCCACTGACAAATGCCCAGTCAGTGTACCCAGCCAGCTCACCCCAGTTTTGTTTTTCAGCACAATGCCATATGATTTGAAATTTCCCTCTGGCCAGTTAGAGTCAGCTGTCCTGGCTGTGCCCCCTCCCAGGTTCTTTTGCCCTGTCTAGCAGGGCAGCAGGAGGCCCTGAAAAGTCCTTGATGTAGAGTAAGACCTGCTCAGCAACAACGAAACCATCAGTGTGTTAACATTATTCCCATCCTAAATCAAAAACACAGCACTGTAACAGTTACTGGGGCAAAAAAAAAAAAACCCCAAAACAGCCAAAATCAGAACAAAGGTGCTTAAAACATAACACAGCTGATGTTGGCAGCATTTTTATCTGCTTTCTCCTCTAATCTGTCTTGAATAGGAGTGAGTGCCCTCGCTTCCCAGAAGCCTTAGCAATGCAGATTTTTTGGTGACACTGCTGGAGGCATGGCTTTATTCACAAACCCCATTTTGCATGAGTTTGGAGGGTTACAGATTTGCTTTTCTCTCTGTAAGAGACCACCTTAGGTAAGGGAAGAGGAGGTGATATGGGGTGCTTAGCTGCAGAAATCCCACCCAATGCCAGAGATTCACAGCATCTGTTGGCTTCTCCTTGAGTTCTCCCAACTAAGAGGGGCTGAGTGTCTCAGCAGGGGAAAACTTCATGCCCCTACTTACCTTCTTCAGATATTCTTATAAAGACAAAAGTCCATGGGAGGACTTTTGATAGCTGTGTCCCATCACCGAAGTCAGAGGCTGATTCTTGTGGCTTGCAGCACCTTGTTCTCACCCACATGCACTGCAGGTGCAGAGCCAGTGCCAGAACTCCTCTCCTCTTAGCAAGTGATCACCAAAATGATTTATCACAGACAGACATGTTTGGAAAGTTTAGCAAAGAACTGCTTTTGGGAGGTTACAAGGTTAACTACCGAAGTTGTATGTAACTTGGAGCTGATGCATGGCAATTAATCAAGAAATTACATTCCACTTCTCTTTGAGAGCCCCCACGGCGCGCTGCGTCAGGGGGCAACAGGCACACACTGAGGGCAAAGCAGTTCTGCTGGTCAAAATGCAAATTATTTCATATTGAACAAAAAAGAGCACAGAATAAATGGTGGCAGAGGAGGGCCATGGTAGGAAATGCTCTTTTTAGCAAAGGAAAGGTCTCTAAGTTCTAGCAAACCTGAAGCATATGCAGAAAAAAACCCCTCTAATTGTTGCTGCCATCATGTGTGTGCTTTAAATCTATTCACAAACATCTCTGTTCAAGGCAAAGGTCTTGTTCACATATTCGCTGATTTGCAGCAGGGCTTTTTGGCTCTTTCAGAGTTTGGGTAACTCAGTTATCACCTTCTTTCCACCCTTTACACTGACGTATTCAAACCCAAGATTTTAAGTCAATAAAATCAGTAGTGGGTGTGTTGGGATGCCATGGGTGGGGGTGATATAGAACTGATGCATCAGCTTTATTTATTGAGACCAGTTTAATGCCAGCTACCAGTGCTGCTTATGTGCTTTCATCAAAATGTTGGGAACTGGGGTTTGGCTGCTGAACCTTGCACAAAGCCAGTGATTCCCTTTCTTCCAGGGCTCAGCATTATCCAACCCCACAGGCTGGAATTGCCTGTCTTTGTGACTACTGATATTTGCCCTGATTTCCCCCTCTGTCCCTCCATCAGAGTCAGCAGCTCAGTGAAGCTCTGTGCTGATACAGAGCTAATTATGGATGGATGCTTTGCATTGGATTTGTTTAATGAAGTCCTAATGACAGCCAGAAAAGTCCAAGGAGAGATATTTTGTGGGTGTGAATGCCAACACCTGGACTGACTTGGATTGACTCCCGTGGGTTTAAGGCACTTTACACCCACTGGGGATTTGTCCTTAAGTAGCTTTCACTGAGCTGGAGAGGGGCAGAGCCACCCGAGCACACGGCACTAACAAGCTTGAACATTGTAATTAGCAAGCTGATCATTTTCTGTCTTTGACTGACATGTGACATCTCTGAAACATTTTCAAAAGCTTCAGATTTTGAAAGTGGTGGGTGTTCTGAATTTTTGGGATGCACCTGTGTTCACATCCACACAAACATTAGTTAGATCATAAGATGTGTTTTCCTCAGACTATGGATAATTTAAAAATTAGGGAGAATAATTTGTTCCAAGAAGCTATATATAATAAGTTATATAAAAATCTATTATGCACTTATATCATATTCTATCATATAATGTCATATCAAACAATTTACTGTTACATTCAGCTATCACATATTATCTGCCACATAATATTATAAATAATATTCATATATTACATAACACAGAATACATATGTTAGACATTATATCATTGATTATATAATATTTTGACATATATTTTGATTATATTTATATTATTTATATTTTGATATAATACATGATAATATATTTTATTAGTGTTGCAGTGCAGAAGTACATAAACATACATATGTGTACAATATATGAATGTGCATGTTTGTATATGATTATTTATCTTCCTTCAGAGCAGTCAAGTATTGCATATATATGTTTAATACATTGGTTTTGTCTTTGCCCAAACATGGGACCTTTTAAATGTCTTTATTTTTATTTTCACCATTGTTTTCCAGCAGCCCATCTGCTGAGACAAAACTGTTAGATGGCAAAATACATATTTAGGGGTTTGTGTTGTAGGTGGCTGAATTCTTGCTGCTCCCTGCCTGGTGCCTGGGAAAAGGGCAAATAGCTCATCTCAATGCAGGGAGTTGTCTGTGTAGTGCCTGAGCTGTTTTAATTTGGGAAGAATAAATAATTTTCTTCTTCTGAATCCCTTGTAGTCCCTCACCCACAGAAGCAGTTGGCGTACAACGCCTCCAAAGCCGGGGTCGTAAAATTAACACAGACATTGGGAGCCGAGTGGATTGACAGAGGAGTAAAAGTCAACTGCATTTCCCCGTAAGTAAAATGTAGTCTCATTTTGAAACTACAAAGGGAATGAAATGTGCTACAAAGCTCAAATGAACACTATCTCAGCAAATAAAGTTTCTAATTAGCAGGTGGATTGCATCCCTTTTTATGTTGTCTTTTCCTTAACAAAGGTTTAAATACTTAGAACCAAGCCTGCTCTGTTGCTGTATACTCAGGGATTTAAGGAGAGGTTTTAGCATTTGGTAATAGGTTTTCCAATAATGTGAAGGGTAGTTTTTAGCATTTCCCTTCCAGATGAAATATTTCCTTAGTCTGTCGCAGCCTTCTGTGGTTAAAGAAAGGGTTTTTGACAATTAACAGACAATACTTCTTTTCCCTTTTTACTTGAGACAAATACATAGGCACTTTAAAAGCTACATTTTATTGAGCTACTGTTCAGCTCCAACAGACACAGGAGGCCAGGTGTAGTTTTGTAAATATATATATATTAATTATAAACTACATTTTTCTTATTTTTTGAGATTTCAAGCTCTATGTTTTAGGGTATTTATTCACAAAGAAAAGTTTTCCTACCAGATCCACTTTGTCTCTCCCTGTTTCTCACACACATGCCCAACCAGTCATTTTATTAAACAATTAGCAGTGCATGATAGTGCTGAGCAGAAACCCAAGTGGATAGCGTTAATTGGAAGCGGTCAAATTCTGTAGACCATTGAAGTCAATCAGAGTAACTAAGAAGGGCAGGATTTTAACCCAGGAGTTAAATTGTAATAATGAAGATAATAATGTAGATCAAATTAAGGAAAACAAATTACATATTTTAATCCACAAAGTGGAGGGGGAGAAAAAAAATCACAGAGCTTAATGGCAAGTGCTTCTGTTTTTACCACTGCTCTGCTCTCCCCTTGCTTGTGCTAGCTGTCTTCCTTATGATTATTTATTACTAATTATACCAGAGACTCCAGCCGTCGCTCTACGTGATCCACAGATTCTTTCAACAGCATCTTACTTCCCAGTTGGATTTTCCCCATGCCCATGCTAGCAGCACCGTAATGGTGCTCCTACAACTAGCACTAGTGAATTTACACTGGCTTTCGGGAGCTGGGGAGATGAAGGGAATTAGGGAAGCTCAGCAGGACCTGGCAGGAATTGTGTCTGAAAACATACGGGTAATCTGCACCAGCAGAGGTGGGATACTTGTGCCACATTCACAGCAATTACAGATGAGAAGGCTCTTACAGGAGGAATTACCCATTTCTTAGGAGCTAACATAAATTTAAAAAATAGGCACCAAATGATCAAAACTCATTGTTTTGTACAGCTTGGAAGCAAGCACTCACTTCTAGAGAAGTTAAGTTTCTGGAGACAGTTGCCAGAGCATGGAGAAAAAATAGACAGCTTCTCTTTCTACTTTTCAAGGCAACACAGGGTTGCATTTTGATCATCTCTACCTGTCTTAAACTCTAGCTCTGAGCTTAAAATCCTACAACAAAAAGTGGGTGATGTATTGCCTTTTTGGAGGAATAGCCAGGAAGGACACACGGAGAACAAATATTTTGCTGTCTTTGAGTTCCCCTGTTGTGGACAGAGCAGTTTTCCCTAATGCCGGTGGGAAGCTGGACTGAGCTGCTTTGGAGACCAGCAGAACTTCCCTCACAGAACTTCCAGGCTCTGGCTGAGCCCCTCAAGATGGGATTGCCCAGGGACCTGTGGGCACGAGGAAGGAGCCTGCAGCAGCTCATGGAGCTCAGATCCCTCATCACGTGAGCAAAAGCCACAGGTTTCTGAGTGAATAACTATTCACACTTATATTCCTATCTGTGTGAGATGCGAACCTGCACATTTCAGTGCACATTTGGACCCATCCCTGGAACTGAGGACCCCACTATTGTTGCTGTCTCTTGATGTGAGAGGAACAGGGACACGTTCAACACACTTGATCTGAGTACCCAGCACAGCAGGAGCCTCAGTGTCCTCTTATAACAGGATGGGATTTTAAGGAGTCTGAGGAGAACAGATGTAGATATAAGGCACAATAGTACCCAAGATCTGCTCTGGATAAGTAAAATATTTATGTCCTACTTTGCCCCTCCCAGTCATGGTTACATTAAAGCTTTAAGGCACTCCCAGTGTGCCTCTGTCTGAAGATCCAAATGCTCCAGTCTGGCCTTAAACATTATTTCACCATGCAAACCTTTTGGCCTTTCCCCCCTCTTCCTATCTGGTCACTTTTTATCAACTTAATTTCTTAATGAGTGCATAAAACTTATGCAGAGCAATGCATAAAAGTTAGCAATGCATAAAATGTTATGACAGAGTCCTTAGGATGATTTATTGCATTTATAAAATTGAACATGCAGGCTTCTCTTGCTGGCCAGGCAAACCTGATGCCCAGGGAGAGAAGGTGGCTGAGAGTCCCTGGATGCTTTGGCTGATGTGCTGTTGCTATCAGAACCTGTGCTCAGTGCTTGCACCACCATCCAGTGCCATCATCTCATAGCCTGCTGCACAGCTGATGTAAAAAAATGAAGGTCCTGGAGTCTTCCTGAAATGAATGTGGTGGTTAAACTGCAGAGGGTGCCTGGCTTTAATCAGGGAACTTTACAGAGCACTGAGTGATGCCCAGTTGCCCACAGGGTTTAGTCTCTTTGCTGGTTCCAGGACATGGAAGTGTGCTGGGTGTGATGGAAGAGGAAATTCTGGGAGGTGTCTGGTTTTTGGCATGTGCAGCATTGAACATGTCATTTTTGCAGCCATTACACTGAATCAATGTCCATTTTTTTGGCTAATTACTGCCTTCTTGATTAACAAGACATGAAACGCAATTATGTGATGACCTTTGGGATGGGCAGCTGGAAGTTGATATTAAGGTCAAATTGCAGCCAGGCCAGCAGCCCTGGGGGATGAACCGTGTTCCCTCCAGATGGGATGCAGGGATTTGGGTGTGGGCTGCTGGGCAAAGAGCCTTTGTGTGCCCTGCATCCTGCCCTGCTCCTCTGAAGGCAGCCACACAATGCTGCACCAGACTTGCAGCCCCAGAAATCAGGCAGGGCAGGATCACTGCAGGTGTGGGGAACACCCCATAACAGGGAAGGAGAGGCAGAGCTGGCAGGTGAAGGAGCACCCCAGCATCATCTGAAGGCATCCCAATTAAGCAGCTTTACTATCCCCATTAAGCAGCAGTCGTTGCTGGTAAGTATCTTTGGACTTAAATCTTAATTCCTTGGGAGATGTCCCAATTAAGTGGATCTTGTGATTAAACACTTCCTGATTAAGTGGAGTGTACTTAACTCATTCAAATTAATAACTCATCTGAAAGAAATCAAGTTACACACAGATGGAATCTTTTTTTGCTCTCATTTGGGGATTGAGTGCACGTAACAATTCCAGTTAAGTATCTGGTAAGTGATATTTTTCCTAATGCGTCTCTCAAAGTGGAAATGTTTCAGGCAATTGTTTTTTTCTCCTTTATTTTTAGCAGTCTTTTTTTCCCCCCCTTCATGTCCAACATTGTCCTGTGTATCAATAATGAAATATTGATGCTCATATCTAACATTAAGGAACCAGCAGTTTGATATTACATTGACATGCAACAGAAAGCACTGATAGGCTCAGCACTGCATATGAGATGAGGTAGGGAATTAATGCATTGGCAGTTGTCTTTGCTGGAACTGGTTAGGAGCCAACTAAAATCTGCCTAAAAGGGTTCGACAACGTTAAATTGCCCAACTTGGCACCAAGCTTTCCCAGAAGATGTGTAGTATCAATGACATGCCTAATATTTATAGTGCCATCAGTATGTGTGTTTGCAACTTTTAAGTTTTGCGCTATATTTTTTTCCCATTTCTATAACAAAAATTTGTAGTGAAGTTTGGTTTCACATCTAAATTTTTGCTACGTGGAGTGAACCTAAAGAAAGGTCCAGCAAGAGGCACAGCATGGTGATTCGCAGACTGCAGTGATCAGACCAAAGATCATTTTTTCTTAACAGATTGAAAAACGTCCTCTTTTTAGCAAAATCTGTTGTGCTGGAGGACTGTATGTTTTATTCCCTAATATACATTCTCTTGGGGTTAAAATGTATCTGTACATGAAAAAAAAAAAAAAAAAAGGCAATCATATGGATCTTATTCTGGTCTCTGCTAGTGTAAAGCCAGAATGATGATGACGATGGTGATGGTTTTGTAAGCTCAGAGAGGCACGTAAGGGAAAGGAGTTCAATATATTTCACGTCTGCTGCTCAAAGCATGTTTCTCTCTGAAGAAAACCAGTTCTTGAGGAGTTTAGGAAAGCAAAGGAGACCATGGGGCTCTGCTTGAAGGAAATAAGTAAAGCATTCTCAGTCCTATACTGGAATGTGCTTGATTTTGTTACATTGCCAGAACTTAAGTGAGCTGCATTGCTCAGTGTTTCTGAACTGCTCTGCTCTTTATTGACAATTACAATAAAACATAAAGCTGATATTTAAATCCTGCCTGATTAGTGCGAACAGAAATGTTTGGGGGGAAATCTGAATTAGTTCCACTTCATAACAGAGTAAATAGTGGATTTCAGCCTTCATTTAAAACAAAAGGTAAATCTCATACCCAGAATCCAGTCTGTCTCAAAAAATTATTTCCTTGGAAGTCTAAATTGGGATGCCGATGAAGTTTCAGAACAAAACGAGTATTTTTATACTTTGTTCATTTCATATTTATCACTAGCTTGTTTGCTAATTTTCATTTGCAAGAGGCAATTCTTCCAGCTAACTGGCTGCCTCAATGGGCCACTGATTTCTTTGAAGTGACAGTCTGTAAATATGCATAAAAAAGAGATGCAATTAGCGTGTGTGTGGTTCAGTGCAGCCTGATTTCATTGGCAAGTTTACCCACAGTGTTGATAAGCTACATTATCTAGAAAATTGGCCGCTGAAAAACAGCACCTCTGATTGCCAGCAAAGGTTCCAGATAACAGGGTGCTGAAGAGAAATATAATTGAGGTTGAATATGTTAACCAAGGTGTCACATGCTCCTTAGAAGCGCTAATTTATCAGCATGTTGGAATTTTTATTAACATTTGGAATGCATTTCTACCACACTAATGAAGTGGAATTGGCAGTTCAGGTTTTAGTTATTGTCATTTCTGAGAAGTTAAATGTAATTTCTCGTTAGACACAGTTATGTAAATATATTTGTTCAGGGGCTGAAAAAATTATACATTTCGCAAAATACAAATATGTTGTTAAGGAGGAGTATGACAAATCAGTTGCAGTTAAAGTCATAAAAGCCAGCCAAATCCTTGCCCTGCATTGTGCTTCCTGAAGAATCATTTTTATGGTACCTGAAAAAAAACCAAACTTAGCAGAGTTTTAGTAAATAGTGGAGTCAGTCATTAATGTAAAAGAGGCATGACAGGTAAATCAGTGTGATTTGTTAGGTGTTGGTTTAAGGGGGATCACACTGGCTGTGTTGTGCTTATCTCTGCCCCTCCTTTTTTTGGGTGGAAAGGCTCTGGTGCCCAGAAGGATGCTGGCTTTTGTTCCCCTCGTTTGACATATGGGGAGCTGGTCTGTTTTCAGTTTCTGGGCTGTACATAAGCACAATGTATGACATTAGTTGTAGAGTGATGAGAAATTGGTGGAAGGACAACAGTTCCCAAGAGCCATGACAGACCCAATTCAAGGCACTTTCATTTCCAATGCTGTACTTATTTTCTAGAAAAGAAATTTAAACTGGTGATTGTGGGTAATCTAAAAGTAAGGGGGTTGTGCTATTAGCTAAGAAGATTGTGTGAGTGTATGTGTACTTGAAAGGAAACCCCTGAGCTGCCCATCAGCAGCTAAAGGTGATGATAGGAAAGGAGGGCTATGGAAGTTTGCACCATGACTTTCAGCAAGGGCAGAGCAGGCTGGACGCGCTCATCTTTGTGCTGTTACCCTGCTTTCCTTCTGAATTAACATTCTGAATTAATATAAAACACCTCTAGGAGCTGCCTTTCCTTCTGGGCAGGACTCGTTGCTAAACCCTTGCTCCGTGTGCTCGCTGCAGGGGCATCGTTGACACGCCGCTGATCCGCTCGCGGGAGCTGCGGCCGCTGGTGCGGCGCTGGCTGGCTGACATTCCGGCCGGGAGGCTGGCCCAGCCCACGGACCTCCAGGCTGCTGTGGTCTACCTGGCCTCTGAAGCCTCTGACTACATGACAGGCCATAACCTGGTCATTGAGGGTGGCCAGAGCCTTTGGTGAGAGGCGTCCTGTGGTCTCCCTTCTCACGGGCCTTAGAAAGTGTGTATTAGAGTTAAGCTCAGTCCCAGCTTTGGCTTGTGTGACTACATGGCCAGCTAATATGAAATTATTGTTTTCTGCATTCAGGTGTTAATTTGGAGACTTGTATAATGCACAAGCAGAATAAGGCAAAAAAAAGGGCAATCTTTCAGTTTTCCAGCATTTTCGCGTTTTTCACTGCGCAGTCACGTTTTTGTTAAATTAGTATTTAATGATATAAAAGTGCATTTACTGCAGTGAGATTTGGCTATTATTTAAGTTTAACAGGGGGCATTTTTAAAGCAATCAATATTAACTGGTCTGTGTAGTTTATTGTTCTTAGGCAATTTTTTTGAATTCAAGTTGTTCCAGTGACATCTGTGAGTGGTGAAAAACAGTTGGATGTAGTGTTAAAAAAAATAAATTAGTTCATTACATTTGAACCTGAATGTTGCCATTTTATATTTTCTGGTGTTCTTTAGTTTTTGACAGTGTTTTTATACAAACACCCACATAAATGCCCCTGAAAGAACAGTGTTGCACTTAATAGAGATTCATGGTTGGTAATTATAATGGCTCTAATCCAAACCTATTGAGGTAAGTAGGGACTGCTCATATACTTTAAGTCAAATGTGTGTTAAGTGTTGATACAACTGGGTCTTTGTTTTCCATGATAGACAGAAGTAAGCAAAGGTCATCTTCCAAATAATTTCTTTTTCCTCTTGTAAAATTCTGAAGACAACTCCTGGGTGTAAACCAAGGCCAGCTCAAGTGATATTGATACAGTTCTGTTGGCTGAAGAGCCCCTTTTGGTGATAGCATTGGGTTCATTGCTTATAGGCAGTAAAACGTGGCACAATAACCCCACGGTTCTGATATTGCACTGGATAAAGAGAGACTTCCATTCTGAGGGCCCTAAAGCATAACCTAAGGAGAATTTACGGGAAGAAATTCACTTGCAAATCCTTGTGTCATTTGTTTTGCATTTGGCAGCTCTTTGTTACCATAACATAAATAATTGTGGATGGATGTCATTACTTTGATTAAGTGCTACAAGCCCATGCATTGGCTGGCCATTATTGTGGGGAATTGCTGTAATGGCTTCAGACTTGACATTCACTGCTACGTTGTAAGGTATGCGCCTCGCTGACGTACTATCATCGTTATCATGGATAAAGTGCAAGAAGATACTTGTCTTCATTAAATTTTCTATTAGACCATTGATAATTAATACATATCTCATGTTTCATCTTGAGTCGTTTTTCTGGGGAGTGCTGCTGTTAAGCGACTCAGGGCTAGAGATTTTTGGCTTGAAATCCTTGCCTTGTGTGCATGATCTAATTTATTGACAATGCTCTGCAAACTCACAGGCTTAAGTAGAGCTTGATTTTGGATAAATCTTCAAGAAAAACAATTAAGGATTTAAACGTTTTATTATTTTTCTGGGCTCACAAAACCTTTTCTCTCCTAGCTCCCACACTTGCATCATTTTGTGTCATGCTCTGGAGGGCTCAGTGGAGTTCTCACATCCCTCTGGCTGGCTTTTCACCCAGAGGTTAATGTGCAAACATTGGTGAACTCATCAGGAGCTCTTCCAAGGGATCCTAGAGGGGCTTGTATACTATTGCTTGGATTGCTGGTGAACAGTTTGTTACAGCTTCTACCTAAAGTGTAAAATAATGAACTTTAGTTAATTTGAAACACAAACTACAGTTGGCACTGGAACTATGAGCAGTGTTTTCACTTTCTCAGCAGAAAGACAAAAGACTGAATGGACTGCTAAGGCTGAACTTCCATTCCTTGCCTGGAGATGGTTGAAGCTCAGCACCAAAAGGCACAGGCAGGGTGCTTCAGGAAGCTGAACTTCACTGCCCTGGTTTCGGGAAGACTTTCAGCCAGGTCATGCTGTGATTTTCACAAGTTTCAAGTTAAAAACAAAAACCCAGACATAAAAAAAAAATCACCTAGACTTAAAAAAAAAAGTCAAAATGATCTCTTAACTAAGCAGCCTCCAGTGTTTGGACTAGAGCTTGTCTCGCCTGCTCTGTTTGCCCCCAGGCTCTGCCTTTGAAGGGCTGAATGGGCAGAGCAGAGGAGTGAGCTTACCTGCACAGGCTGGTGTGGGGCTTGGCTCCTGTTTGGGGGCATTGCTGTGTGCCCATGTGGGCCCTGGCCCAGCCCCATGTTGGCCCAGAGAGGCTGGTGGAAGGGGCTGTCTCTCCCTCCATTACACAGGACTAAGCAGCCCAAGGGGACGCAGCACTTGGTGCCAAGTCCTCAAGCTAATTGTCAAATACCCTCACATTACTTTTGTTTTTCATGGCACCCTCACTTTGCCCGGAGAAACATCCTGGAGGAGACCATGTGTCAGAAGGGAGGTGTCTTTCTCCCTGTATGTATGAGCTGGTCTGTCTCTTCCTAAGGAAACACTTTCATCTCTCTCCTCCACAGGCCTGTTGAGTCATCAAATGGTTTGGGTTGGAAGAGATCTTAAAGATCTTCTAGTTCCAACCACCCTGCCATGGACAGGGACACCTTGCCCTCAACCAGGCTGCTCAAAACCTCATCCAGCCTGGCCTTGAACCCAGGGCTTCATCCATTTGGGAGCTCTGGCAATGGCACCGTGCTCTTCACCCTTTCCCACAGAATTTCCTGAGGAAAATGGCTGATTTCCACTCAAAGGCAGGGCTGTGACCATGCAGTGCTGCTTCTGTGTGGTAGCACCAAACTTGACATTTGGGTTGGGAACTGTGGGGGGCTCCCCACACTCTGCCTTGTGCTGGGGGGGAGGCTCATTGCTACAGCCATGGGGTCTCTTCCTGAAACGCAGCCCTAAGGCCAAGTGGAAGCACCAATTTCCCCTTTAAAGGCAAAAACAAAGGTCAAGAGGTTTATGTCAATATCTAGAAGTCCAATTCTGATGTCCAAAAGGAAGGTGTTGAGAGGATGGTGGTGATGCCAAGTCAAAGGACAAGAGGCAACGGGCACAAAATGATTCCCAGGAAGTTCCACCTGAACACAAGGAAGAACTTTGCTGTGCAATGACAGACCACGGGAACAGACTGCCCAGAGAAGGTGTGGAGTCTCCCTCACTGGGGATATTCCAGAACTATCTGGCTTCAACACCGTGTTATGTTTTCTAGAATAACCCTGCTTGATCATGGAGGTGGGACCATGGAGACGCACTGTGGTCCCTTCCAGCCAGAACCATTGTGATTCTGTGAAGAATGTGAGAAAAGCCTTCCCTCCTCCTAGCAGGGGGCAGGGGAGGCGGTGTGGGGGCATGCAGAGCAGGGGGGATGCGGTGCGGGGGGTGCGATGCTGTGCAGGCGGAGGCGCCGTTCCCGGCGGTACCTCTAGGAGGAAACCTCAACCTGTGTTGTGTCTGCGGGAGCCGGGCTTCCCGGCTCTGCTATTCAACTTTCATACTGCAGCTAAGTTAGTACTTTTGATATTTCTAAGTTTTTTTTTTTTTTTAAACATTTATGTAGAACACCACATAATTGCAGAAAAGATAATAGTCACATACCCTAGGGCTTGGTGTACACTTATGTTAAAAGTACAGCTTTTATTGGCAACTAAAGTAATAACCTTTCCATGTCAAATTGCTTTAAATTAAACTTAAAAAAAAAATGCTGGCTGATACCCACACTTGGTAATTGTCAAACATTAGCATAATGTGGAATACTAAAGCTGCTTAAATCTTGGGTTTAAAAATAATTATTTACTTAGGTAAATTCTCCATTCAAAAGCATAATATTAGATTTTTTTTTTTTTTAATACAGTCTCCTTAATGTATATGTTAAATTGAAGACCTGAGCTTGATGTGGGAGTGAGGTTGAATGTTACTGTGGTCTCTGTGAGAAAAAGGGCGATTTTATACCTTTAGCTTGTCCATCCATCATTGCTCACACGGAAAGAAATGTTTTAAGGTCATGCCTCTGAAGGCAGAGGTGCTGTGGGTGACATCTGGTGACCCAAGGACGGTGACCTGCAGTACCTGCTGATTGTACCCCCTGCTGCAGCCCCGGAGTGCAACACAATGTTTCTGGTGCTGGATGGCATCTGGGAGGAGGATGCCTCAAGGATGTGGGTGTGGAAGGCCAAGGGCAGCAGGTCAGTAAAGTGTTTCATCCAGGTGAAGTTTCCAGTGTGAAGCACAAGAGGGGACATTTCACTATGAGATGTGGCTCTCAGGGCTTGCTGCTGTGTCTGAAGGAAACTGGACCTTCCAGGTGCTGTGAGGACACAAGTCCTCATGGTTTTCTGCATTTGGGAGGCCCAGGCTCTGACATGCCCACCTTGTGGAGTCCATCCCCTTGCCAGCACTTCCCTGTGATGTCCACCACAGCACTGTGAGTCTACTGGCTCTTCCTCAGAAACATGCCAGTGTTTTACTGGAAGTTCAACAAGACCTATTTTGGAACATTTTCTTAAAGAAATCAGCAGTGCCCCTCTTAGGGCAAAAAAAATTTTTGGCAAATTCCCACACCTTTGAGTAGCAAGTTAGAAAGGGATTGCCCTTCCCACTGCTTTAGGAAGCTCTGGGGGGCTCTTGCTGCCTTTTCAGCAACTTTTCAGAGGAACAAAATGGAGCAGTAGTAACCAGTTACAAGGAAGTTATGAACTTCAAGAGAGTTAAACAGTTGTTGGGAGGGGAATCACAAGTAGCTGAGGACTGAAAATTAGATAACTTTCCCAGCCTTGCCTAATATCATAGGTGTTTTACACTGTAATTATAAATCTGATTATATACTAATTTCCACACTGTTTCAATTCTTTAAAGCAGGGAAGGAAAGTACACAGATCTTCCCTGGAGAGCCCTAGTGCAGTCCTACAGCTTATGCCTTCTCACTACAATAGATTGGAATTCTTCAAAATTCCTGAATAACAGTGAGTATTTGCTGGTAGATTCTCACCTGCCTGGTGTCCTTTGTCCCTTCACACCTCTTTCCTCCTTCTCTAGAGCTCTCCTTTCCCCA